TGCTTTACAACACATGAACAATATTTATTACACGTTGTTGTCACATGTATCCCAGTTTGGCCTAAAAGGAGTTCTAACATCAGTGTTGATTTCCTCAACCAATAATTCTAATGAGGTTGTTGATGCATTCGCTTTCATCAACACCCCCCCCACAAAAAATGCACAAGGACAAAAACTACAGTTTAACGTATCAACATGTTCATTAACGAATAAAAATGAAATGAGTTGTAAATAACTCAGTGGCAGAAACAAACTTTTACACTTTTTGTCACCTTTAGATTTAGTCTATGATAACATTACAACATTTAGCTGATAAAAACTTAGGAAATTTAGACGCCTAAATTATGAATGAAACTAAATGATGTTTTAGTCAGAAGATTAAGATTAAAGCTAAATCAAAATTTGCTGTGAAAACGAAAACTTTGTAACATGTTATGGTTTAAAATGGTTGCTAATTAGTGAATCAGTGAATATAATCATTATTAAATATAAACTATGACTATCATAGCATGCTCATATAGATCAATGCAAATGTATAATAATAGATTTTCTAAATGATCCAATCTGTCGACTGATGTGTTGGGATATATTGTCTAAAGTGTTCATAAACTAATGCTGATCCTGCACTGTTTCCTGTTTCCTCTTCAGTTTAGACAGATGAGGGATGCTGGCCTTGAATGCTTAATAATACACATGGTTAAATATGCCCATTCTTATACTTTACATGATGTTTTACGTCACATACACAACAAGCTTTGCACCCATGTGCTGCTTTGCTCCAGAGAGACCTGTGATGCTCTGTGACATTGAGCTGCTTTTCACGAGCAGTCGCTGCGTTATAACTTCCTACAGAGTCTGTCTGAGGTCACAGGAAGTCAGTGATGACATTTATGTCTGCTACACTCAGTTCTCGGTCCAAACCAGCTGAGTAAACAGGGACTTACTGGGGAGAAGTCGATTGGGAAATAGCAGGACGTCACTTCAAACAGTTCCTCTGTGAATTTACCTGAGACAGCAGATAGGAAATGAATGGGAGTTACAGTTTGATCACTGTGGCAGAAAAAAGGTGAGCTGCAGGTCAGGGACGCACAGAAATACAGAAGAGGTGACGGTGAGAAGAAATTATGGTGTTCTCACCGAGCTCGTAGCCTCTGTGAATAAGGTTTTTGGCAATCTGAAAGGCCAACAAGAGGTTGCGAGGATCTCGCTCCCCGTCCATGGACTGCACAAAACCGAAGACAAAGTCGGCACCCAAACCCTTAAGTTCTGTGGGGAAACGAAGCAGGGACACATCATGTGGGGAAAAAAAAGTTTTGCAACACAACAGACAAACACTGGTTCACACAATGACTAACAATGGCTTGCGTGAGAGTGCCACGATAAAGGAACTATACAACCAACCGTCTCTTCCTCAAAACTAGGAAAGCTGGTGAGGGTGTATCGGTGAAGCTTACTACCATCTCCAGGTGGGGATGATTATTATTTTGGCATGAAGAGCAAAAAAACCCGCAAGATTAATTTTCTTATGTGAAGTTAAAATATTAAAATGGAAGAAACAAGTAACAGCAGCTAAAAAAAAAACATTGGTACTAACGGGATTTGTCAGTTTTCTAATGATTGCATCTTCTTCTCAATCATTCACTTCCTCTTATTTAACCTACACACACACACACTCTGACTGCTCCTGAAGCAGCTGTATGACGTTTCATTCCCTAAGTCAGAGGGCAGATATCAAAGCTCATATCAGAGCCAGAGATCCCAGCAAGATTCATTCATGTTTACTTTGATAAATCAGTCTTTGATGACTCGGTTTGAATCGTGATTAGAATGTTGTGATTAGTCATGTTGATTATCATCATATTGGAGATGAAGAAGAGTGTAATGATTTTTAAGACTCTGACAGTGTTCTTAATATAGTTTAAAACAGAGTCATTAAACCCCACAAATCACCTACAATCAGCCTTACTGGATCGGATTAATATCACCAGTTTGTAATTAAACTGTTTTATCTACAGTTGCTGTAACCTGCATGCTGTACCTGTCAGGTCACAGCTGAATAACGAAGATTTACAACTCATTTAAAATCCATTTAGATCACAGCTGTTTTTTATATATAATAATGAAATGATTCTGTGTAAATGAGTAAACATCTCTGCTACTTATATATATAAAAATCATATCTTTCCCCTCTTCTGTTTGTTAATACAAACAACGCAATCAAACATGATCCACAGAATTAAACAGGAGGGTCTTGCCCGTTGCCACGGTGAACATGGTCTGGAACCAAACAATCAGAGCTTACATTTAAAGTTTGTTAAATCTGCTTTCTGGAACAAAGCCCAGGTCACAGTACCATCCCTCCTGTAAGCGTTTCCATTTTAACAGCTGGTAGCTAAACACAACTATTCCACTGTCAGCCCTCCATTTTCATTTTTTACATATGGCTGTTAACCTAAAATATTAGCCAAACAGAGGACAGCATGTCAGCGCCTTCCATTACTGCTGTGAGATTGTCCGACTTTTAAAACTCATGCTCAATTCTTAAATCACCGGTTATTTCAACATGACCTGCTTCCTTCCACAGAGCTTTCTGTCTCTGTTAACTGAGGTTTTGTGAATCAAACCATAATCTCTTACCCGCCTCTCTGGTCTCCATGATGTTGATAAGCATGCTGTAAACACATGCTCTCTCTGACAGCATCAGAGACTGCAGGGGAAATACATACATTTGTTATTAGTAGGAACGGTTTTAGATGAGTCAGTTTTACCAGCAAAAACAATAACAGAGAGGAAACAAGAACATCTAACAAGTGTGGCACGATGTTTCCGACAGTGTGCTACATTAGGTTTTAAATGCATTACTTTCGGAAAAATCAAACACCGCAAAACTAGGAAAAGTCACAAAATGTCCACTAACGTCAGAAAAAACAACTCAGACAGTGGAACTGTTGACATCATATGTGGAATGTAAAACGTGAATTGTTTGGTTAATCATAATAAATTCTTTGATTAATGGTGCAAACTCGTGCACTGCAAATTACTTAAATGTAATTTTTAACATTAGCATAACCCTCCAAGTACAGTGACCTAGATTAGTTATGGATGTTAGGTGAGTTATTTCTAAGCAACAACTTGATCTTGGCAATAATTTTGGTTAAGTAAAATACACCATGCGGTCTTTGTAAAATCCACGTTCTCTTCAATTCCCATTTTAAAGAACACAAAGACAACAAGGGGTGGGATTTAATAAGTTTTCTTCGTCCCACTCCTTTTTCAGG